CTCGATTGGTTGAAAAATAATTCGTGTTAAGGGTGCCTGAATGCCGTCCGATCAACCTTAAAGCTGTCCGTAGAACTATTTAAATATGACAGTATGACAGCGGAGACGGAGCTCTCGACTGAACATCTTTCAAGCTGTAGTAAAGCAGGGTGCCGCCCGAACAACTGAACCCTAAACCTCTTCTTCTAACAATTCTATTCTTTTCACGACTGGAAAGTGAGTAAGTCGGACTGTGGGCGTGAGAAAGTGGGCAGAATGAAATGGCGAATTAAAAATAGTGTCATTTAGTACTCCACTGCGGGTTGGACTACGTGCACAGAGCTGCGAATGAGGGGTGAAGAATGAGAAAGATAAAGAGGAGGGAAAGATAAGGAGAGGTGTAGCAGAATGAGGATGATAGCTTGTCTCCTTTCAAAACGTCCCGAGATCACCTGTTTCATTTATCTATGTCCAGGGACGCGCATCTTTGCTTCTATTGGAAGTATATGTATCTATATATGAAGACAAATCCTTTCTTTTGGAAACATAAACGTCGGCGCTGATTCCTCAGATTGTCATACAAAAATGTCAAAGGAAAATTGGAAGAAACAACAACCGATCGATATCGTCTGACGCCTTTAATTTACACAGACGCCCAATGACTATTGATTTCTATGCCCTTTTGAACGGTTAATAGTCCGCTGAAAATCTTATCAGGCCTGACGACAACAGAGGTACCAGAGCGGTAAGCTTACTTACTAACCTTTACCTCTCCCAACGAACTGATTTGCCTTCAATTATATTTAGTGAGAAACCTGCATTGCAATTCAAACGGATATATGTAAGGGATTAATTTCGGACATGATTAATTGCATGACATGAAGTTAATTGAGTCTGGCCTGACTTTTTGGAGTCAGATCCGAAATTTCAATGAATATTTGGGTCAACGACAATCAGCGATAACCACGTAGTACCCATTCTGCCAAAAATAATATAAATTCTATATAGCATTTTGGGGCTAGACGCGTAATTGCAATGAGCATTTGAGTCGGACAACAAAAAATAATGCCTCGGTCACTTAACTACATATGATCCGCTTAATAATGTCTGAAATAATTACCCCTTTTATTCTCCGGAGTGCATATACCTGCAACTGCATAGTGAAGGCTGGGGGACCTACTGAAGAGTCGAATTCCTCGTTG